CCTGATTCCTGCTTCACTGCATCTGTAAATAAATGGGAATGAGCCTACACATGCCCATAAGTTTAAGCAATGTATTAAAATCAATAAAATTCCTAAACCAGAGTCGCCCTCAACTCTCTCTCTCACTCCACACAATCCCCTTTTTCCCTCTATGGGAAAATTCTAGATATCTTAGACTCTCCCCAAAGCTCACAGGTACAAATAGCCCGTTATCCACTTCCCTAACTTGTCCCCAATAGTCTCTCTACCCTTTGTCATCACTCTCCCACTTAAATAGCCATTTATCCCTCTGCTTATATGGTTCCCATCACACTAGTTCCTAAATTTCCCTTGAATTTCAGCATAATTACAATGACATCTCCTATTTCATAACCCACATGTTACCTCATCCTTGGTCTACCCAGTCACCCCTTTTAGCCACTCCTTTGTAGGTTAAAGCACCCTCCCAACACAATAACCATCTACTACATATTTTCAGTTTTTAACCTTACCATTTGCAATTCCATCTTTCACATTCTGGTTTATCTATTTCAGAATGATAATATCAACAACCATCCATGCACATTCTATTTTCACATACCTGCAATCCTTTGGTGTTTTCCACCACTTTATTTTCCAATTCAGCATATACCATTTTATCTTGAATGTTAAATACATATTTAAACTGTAATAGTTTGAACTCTCATGTAGAGTCCTGACCGTACGCATACCATATCATGATAAAATAATCTATAAGAATACTTCATGCAACAAATTTTAAAATAATAAAAAGTACATCCCTTGCATACTTAGCTCAAAATATCCAATATCCATGAGGCATGTCTAAACTCTAAAATAAATACTCACTAAAAATGAAATCATTAACATTAAGTACTATTCGAATTAAAATACGATCTTCTAACAAGTCTTTCACTGTTCAGGAGCGGGGTTCTGAATATCCTGATCTAAAAAAATGAATAATAAATAAGGTGAACTTAACATGCTCAATAAGCATGTAAGCACCAACAAATAATAGGATAATTTATCCATGTTGGTAGAAAACATTAAACTACCGACAAAGATGGTTAACACTTTTCTCTTTTATTCAGAAAGCACGTGGTATCTACACCCAAATTCATTAACCAAATCTTATAAATCATTTTATTATTACATATTCAAAATTCATTATTTCAGTATCATAACTCAAGGTATAAATAGTTCAATAAATAGCATAATTTAGTATTTAGTATCACAATTTAGATAATAAGTAGATCAATAGATATTAATTTAGTATTTCAGTATTATGAATGTTACACATGACTCTCTATTTATTTTTATTGATTTATATCCTATTAACAATAGTTTTATCGTGAGATGCCATTTTTGCCGGTATCAACGAGAGCAGTAAAGATCCCCTCTACGATGTGAATACGTTATAATTCAGTTCATAGTTTACAATTTGCAATATACAGTATTCAGTTTACAGTTTCACAATACTTATCACTTCGCGATGTCTAGCTAAAGTCGTATCTTCGGGTAGAGTTCACCATAGTCACACGACAAAAGGATATAACACAGCCACCCCTCGGTGATACCAGTTAAATGAGTTTCCCAAATCTTTTAATGTCTATTTATTTATTTCAACTCTCTAATAAATCTTTTAATTTTTATTCTTTAATATTCTATACCTATTATATGTATACTGGAACTATTCACCAACCTAGACTCGTCTACATATCCTTAATATATTCTCAATTACATAGTAACTAGTAGATATACGAATTCGATTACCAAAACATAGATAAACAATTCATTAGCAATTTTAGTAGTAAAAGTAAATAGGAACATAGCAATCAATAGTAAAATATGGTCAGAATCCTGTGCCTAATTACCAATTATTAAACATCACAGTTTTAGTATCTTGGAAAGATTAAACTACATTTGTAATCGCTTACGCACTTACCTGATTTCCATTTAAATCTTGTTCATGAAATTATCTCTGATGTATATGATCAACTTGTTACAGTGATATCCGTATCGGGTTAGTAATGAATTGGTTATCCCCTAATTTCAAACATTCGTGTCAACACTTATCCCTAATTCTAAACTGAATAAACAATTTATTGCATTAAAATTAAATAAGATTAATTAACCATTAATATAAAACAGTAAATCATCAGGATTTTTTGAACTCACCTACATGAACCGGGTTCCTAGGACTCACTACGCACAACAATCAAAAGTCCCCGCGCCTCCACACGCACCTCCACCGGATCACCATGCACCGCTACTATTCGCTGTCAATCGCTGTTATGGATTGGACAAAATTCAATGTAGAGCACTTCGCGCCATCAGATCCAACATAGATTTGGTGGAATCGCGCCAAAAAGAGCCGCATAATAGCAAAACACACGTCGAGCTGCCGCACAAATCGTCTTCTTCTCATGTGCACCGTTGCGCGCAGCACCGAAATCTCCTCTACCTTTTTCTTCTTTTTCTTCTTCCTCTCCTATCTCAGTTGCCAATTGATGGTAACCATAGCCCCTCTCTCTCTATCTTCATCTCTCTCTCTCTCTCTTTCTCTCTCTTTCTGCACCGATTTCCTTCCCTCCCTTCATGTTTTATAGGGAGGGGCAGAAGGAGTCTTGTACGACCCTTCTTCCTTGGTGTGCAAGTCTCCTCTTCTTTCTTTTCGGCTGGTGGCAGAGGCATACACACCTCTGCCTCTTCACCTTTCTCAACCATAGGTAAACATGCCTATGTTTTTTTTGCCTAAAATAGTGCCATTTTGGGGTCTCCTAAAATGACGTTGTTTTAATCTGTTACATAGACGATTGTTGTCCACCACTAACACAACCAATCACAAAATTTAGTTTTATGGAAGCTTTGTCCAGGTCAGTAAATAAGCAGTAGTATATTTAATATCCTAGTGTCACACCCATTCTGGCCACATATTTTCCATCCACTTATGCAACACATTTAATCATCTACAGCAGCTTAATGCATTACACAATAAACAAAATCAGCAGATAATGTGACAAGGAAATGATGTGAAATCTAACCCATATTTGGCCACTCACACATATATAACTATTAACACAACATACAGCTCACAAATGTAATACACAATTGTTAATACAGCAGATGAGGTACACTATTTTCACACATTTTCTGACCACCAACTGGCCACACACCAGAAACAGTAACCCATGTTTCCTTAGGAAGGTTTTCAGTTTAACACCATAGTCCCCTAAAAGGCCGTCTAATTCCTCTCCCTTTTTATGCCTTGTAAACCTTTCCATTTATTCCCATATCTCTCTATCCGTTCTCTCCCTCAAACACCTATCACTTATTTAAAAATTTAATTTCTAAATCATTGCAAACAAAACCTACATTCTATTGTTTCCTCCCCTTGACTCTCCCTCAAAACAGGCCCTGACTTCCCATCTACTTTTCATCTCCAATGTTCATTCATACTTTTCCATTTTTTTATTTTTAAATTAATTTACATTCATTCGTCCCCCTCTTTTTATCAGATATGATTTATTCTTCTGGGTTACTCTTAGCCATTCATCCTATTTTCTTGTTTTTAGGACCCTAATTGATTTTCTATAAAATGTCAGCCTTTTATCATGAAAACCCTTTTAGTAAACGATATTGTATTAGAGTCGATGTATGAAGTGTGTTGTTCTGTGACCGTAAGTGTAAACCATACTGTATTATTGATATCGTATTGATGTTACTGTAGTACCTTGTGAAACATGGTGTGCATTGTCATTGTAATAGAAAAAATAAAACTATAATGTAATGTACCATTTACATACTATCAGCTATGAC